ACCTTTTTCTCATACAAATACGGTTTAGCGCTGCGCATCGCACAAAGCTGCGTCAATGGATGCGTACCTAAACCGTTTTTATGCGTGCATATGGAATATAAAAATCGTAGAGTTGTTGTTGATTTGTATATAATATAACATAACATAACAGCCACAACAGTCCACTGCTGGACATGGGCCTCCCCCTATCGGGGGGTATTGCCATACTCACCACGCTTGGCAGGCGGATTGGATAATATAATATAACCTAACAAAATTAATTTCTTGGAAAGCATCTTCCAAACCATAAAAATCTGCTCCATAACATCGTCGGGCTGCAACCCGAGCATAGCTGCGGCAGACAACGTTCAATTATTGCATTTTGCGGTTTGAGCTTAGCCTGAACTACAGACACAGTTTTAGTAACCTGTAGACACATCTCAATATTCCTATACTGGTTGTTTTTTCTAATTTACTATGAGAAACAGTCAGGTCACATTTTACCGCTGAATATGAAACTCTATGTGCTTATTTGTCATCCAGGTACGACCAAAAGCAAAATCTCGGTGGCATTTTCGTGACACAAGGCAAATTATTTGGTGTAGTAAAGTAGTGTATTATTGTCAATCATTAGATGTAAACGGCTTAGATAATTTGTTAAATGAAATAATGGGGGGTCCAGATTATAACATCGAAGGTTGCTACATGGAATGTCGCAACATCGACAACGCTGCATCGAAAGGTCGCCACATCGAAAGGTAGCCACATCGAATGGTCGCCACATCGAAAGGCCGCCACATCAAATGCGCATTACATTGAAGGTCGCCATAGATAGATGGGTTTACCTATGACCCATGCCGTACTCGTGCGGTGCATTTGTGTAGTTCTTGCTACGCTTATCAAATTTTTTAATAGGTACCAGTATAGTTACAGAATATCGTCTAAGAAAAACTGTTTACAAACCGTGAAAATCCGCCTTCTAATATCGGAATGCAACTCGAACATTCCTGCTGCAGACAGCAAGCGGTCGATAATCCTATTTTGCGGTCCGTGGGCCGCTAGCCTGATCACTGCTTGCAGATTTTCATCATTCCTTACCAAAATGCAAGGAAAGTTAGACTCATTTCGATGCCAATATCATTTTTAAACAACATTGTAAGGATGTTATCTAATCATTATCATGTACCGTATCATTTCACTCCTGCCGCCAGAAAAAATCATTAATAAATTATACTAGCGTTGCCGCGCCTATCGAGGTATACCTACCACCACCGCACAACCCCGGTCGTACCTATATGCCCCTTAAAACTTTCTTTAGGAAAAGTATTCTTCGAATACATCTGGCTCAATAATATCTTCAGCAGCATCAAAATGCGCTTTTAGTATAGCTGTTGCAGATAGCGGTCAATAGTTGCATTTTGCGGTCCGCGCTCTACTTGCGGACTAAACTAAAACACACGCGATCGAACTGAATGAAAACAAACTTCAAATTTCTTATAGCGTGAAAAGGACAAGTGGTATTTTAAAGCATAAGAATCCGGCTCAATATTATCTTGAACAGTATCGAAAATGCGCTTCAAGCATAGCTGCGGCAGACAGCGGTCGATAATTGCATTTTGCGGTCCGCGCTCCACTAGAGGATTAGAAACACGCGCGATCGAACAGTACGCAAACAAACTTCAGATTTCTTCGGCTCTTTTTGGGGTAATACAGCGGATTAGAATCGGAGTGAAAAAATTGAGAGAGTATGGAATAGCGTATTTTTTAAATAAAGTAGTCAAAAGTCAGTATTTTCTATTCTATTATGAGTTTCGTAATCGATGTTTGTACTAATGCTAGACCGCTTCTATTTTAATAGCAAATTAGACTTAGTACTTATGTAGAATCGTAAATTTTCACATTTTATTACGCATTTACGACACTTTTACTGTTCTAAACCAACACCTTTAGGCTGTTACAATAATGACTAATTTCTGCAAATCGTTTTTTAAAATAGGAACCTATAATTTTAAACATTCCTTTTCCACATAACCATATTCAATAGTTCCCAAGAAATTGCTATCGAATAAACAGCACAGCAAAAGAGGGAAGCACACATAACGTTCGTTTGTGCGTTATTTTGCGCTGCGTAACACATGGGTTAGGACAATATGAATTTCTACCTTATTTTCATACAAATGCTATTTGTGTGAAAATAAGGTAGAAATTCGCATCTTCCTAACGCATTCGATAGCGCTGCGCAAAAATAACGCACAAATAGTTTTTACATGTGTTTCTCACCTAAATGGTCCCCCGAGAGCCGTACTCGGAGTATTTCACTATTTGTATGGTAGTTTGTATGAGAGGTATTTGCACTAGCACTACAACTGAGCATGAAATAATGCGAACATACACACTGCAATCGTCGGTAATGGAATTCCATTTTGTGACAGAGCTTTCGAGTATAAAACCAACATAGTGGCACTTACGTTTTTAGAGCGTTTGTGTTTCAAACATTGGTTCCGAATAGAAGTGGAATATAAAGTGGTAATATTTACTAGACTTAACGAGTTTTTCATAGAGATAAAAATGTATTAAATTATTGGATGTACCTTCATAGGTATAATTTGACAAACTAGATAGACTACACACACAACGTATCTAATGAATTTTCAAACGATCTAAATATTATACATTTCTAGTAATTCTTATTGCGTTTAAGTTCGGTAAAGCAACATTTTCATTTGACATATTACAACGTGTAAGTATGTTAAGAATAATAAACTTAGAAGGTGCAAAGTTTTGGAAATGTTCTACTTTATTAAAATGAAATTCTCTTGAGCGGGATCTTGCCGAGTTACAAACGTATTCGGAGGGAGAGCCGTGTCTCCTGCTCTCATCTAAATGTTAATTATACCGAAATCTTGCCAAGTTTTCTGCCGGAGCGTGTAAATTCTGACTTCAGCTTATATGAAGTTTGCAAGATAAGTAAATAGGTTTTCGTGTTGTATTAATAGTAGAAGCAAAGTCAAAAGGACACGGTCACGTAACTTTGAAACCTCACCGCTTGTAGTTATCGCATGATAAATTACAGTTCGCTGAAATGAAATTCAAATCTATACGATAATAGGAGCTCGCAAATGGATTTCTTTAGACATCTCTTTTTATATTGCCGCCGTAAAAGAGGTCAAAAGGGCGAAAATTCATTACAAGCACAAAAAGCCGTACAAGTTTCGTCATTGTCCGAAAGAAGATTTATAAATTTAATAAATACGAAAACAGAATCCATCTATGCTATCAATCTTCTGAGAAACTATTATGATTGAGTAAAATGTCTCGAACATTTCATTACAGTCGAGCCTAACCTAAGAAAGAAGAAAAGAAAGCACGGATCAGAAATGACATTTATATTGTATCATTTGTAACATATTGTTGGTACACAAGTGGAAAAGGGTATGCAACTAGATAGAGACGAGGGTTCTTCATTGGAATTTTCATTCTCTGCATAGTGTTTTGGTCTATGAGGATAATTTACTTCTTGTACCTAACTGATATTGTATTTACATACAATAAAGTAAACTACTCATACTTCTTTTTCAAAATGTCTATTGATAATAACTCATATAAATTTAATAAATAATACCTAGTTTACTACGCAACCATAATAATAATTTTAATGTCAATATGCAGTAGGTATTGGGATACCTACTAAAACATGTGATTCACTCAGGGGTCATAGCATCAAATTCAGAATGTCATAGTTAACAACAAATTAGAGTATATTAGAGTATAAAGCTCTATCCGCACAGTGATAATATTTCGCGCGTTTTTTTTCTCTCTTTTTTGTAACACACTGAATCTTATGCAAGTTTCCGCGCTGACAGAAAAATATCACGAATTATTTCATACAAAATAAAACGTCAAATTCACTGTGCGGACAAATCTTATCCAAGAGTTGACGTTAAATATTAATAAAAATAATTAAAGTTTTTCAATTGTTACAGGGAACCCTAAAACTGAGATGGCCAGCCCGCGGCTCAGCGAGATTAAACGCGCCGTCGCCTGCCACTGCCACTCGCTAAAATATTGGACTACATTTCAACCTAAAATAAAATATCACCATCCACCATCGATATCGACTAAAATTATTAAACCTTTTAGGTGAATCGCACACGCACCGGGCGATATGGCGTATCCTGAAACTCATACTCAACAAGGGAACTGGGACTCTCTCAGTTGGTACTAGCGACGATTTTGACACTTACTAACTTTAACCTTTAACTGTAATCTCAGAGGAAGATGGTAGCCATGAACGTCATATTTCTTGGATTAAAAGTGGCTCAGAATCATAATATTATGATGTTCTCGTATCAAATTAATTTGGCAGTTTTGATTTTCTTACTTTGAGATTTTTGACAGTAGCAACAATGGCAAGTGACAATCGCGTTTTTTTTTCTTTTAATATAAATGCTAACGTGCGATAGCCGAAACTTGACGAAGATGATATGATGAATATCCTGTTTAAGTAATACTCCATTCGTCATGAAAACCGGATCCGGCGTAACACCGAAAAATCTTGCGGCGCGTGTGTAAATCGTCTTACTGTCGTACAACCATTCTCTACAGCTTTTACATTCAATATTACAATCTAAAAGGCGATTATTCCAGTCAGCGAATGGCGAATCATTTCAAGCATTTTCTACTAGAACGGTTCAAAAGTTGACGCTGCTTCTGTTAGTAATCAACGTAACTACATATCTAGGTATAACTTGTTCAGCCTGAAATGTCACAAAAAGAAAGAGAAACAATGAGAGAAAGCATTTTTTTAGCTTTATCTGTAGTTAGATTCAAAGTCTACTTTTGACTGGCAACGATCTTCTAAACTATTTTACCTACATTAATTTACCGATAACGCCCTAATAGGTATGTAGTAGCACAATAATAAAGCTTTGATGATCTTGACGCAAAATTGATGGGATTTAAATGCACTAACAGTACTTTATTATTTTCATTATTGAAAATAAAAAATTGATAACATGTCGTGTATCGACCGGGGCTCGAATTCTGGCCGCATGGGCCAACGCCCCACCGCTCTGCCACTGAGCTATCGATTCACCGATCGATGCCTGTCAAATTTCAAACTCTTTATGTTCGTCTCTAAGCGACGATCTAGCGACATCTGTAGAAAGTAATTACAATTTCTTATTTTCATCTTGGCGCTATTTTGGATGCGGAATTTTGCCAATTATCTTCACGAAAAAGACCAAAACGCACCGCATGCGTCTACGCTACGTGCTTTGAGTTCTGAATTCGCTTTCGCTACGACGCACAAGTCTCGTAGTCTCTGCACCAAACCAGCGTAGTAGGGGCTTATTTTAAGATAACCGTGAGTTATCTTTCGTCTTATCCTTCTATGAGGTTTTTTTGTAGGGTTTTCGCGCTGACGACACACAAGAGAAATGTCGTACAAATAGCGTGGACCGACTGCAACTACAGGCGAACAATGCACACCCAATGGTTATTTTATGCGAGCTCCGTCCCCGACAAAGCAACCGGAGCAGAAAAATTCTGAGCCACGCTAAACGTTTTTAAAACTATAGTAACAAGGTAGCCGTAACTTACGACTTCACACTTTTACTGCCACTAAGTGAAGTTCCTTACTTTATTTTGCTGCAATATTTTTGCGGACTGGTTTAAAAGTTATCGATATGGTTGATGCAATTTGGAAGTGTGTTTTTGTAAGAAGAATAAGGTACCGTCAGAAACATTATACACATGATTTTTACGTTTTGCTTCAGAACATTGCTTATCGCAGAATTTTCACATGACAAAATCAAACCTCGCAAAATGCAGGTACAGAACGGCAAGTAGGTAAACAACATTCGTTCAGTTCGTTTGTTCAGTGTTCAATGTTCCTGTTGACTCCGAAAAAGACATCCAAGTGTGTTCGGAGCGTCCATACGAGGCTCATGGCTCGTTTCCCAGAAATTTCGTTGTGCTGCAAAGCTGTGCTGCAGAGTAATAGGTATACATCAGTGCTGGGCAGCGAAATTGTGTACAAAAGCGAGAACACACGAAACGCCAATAGAGCGTTATTTTTGCGCTGCGTAAAGTACCTAACACACGTAATGTCGGTTAGTGCATTATTTTTGCGGTGCGTAAAGTACCAAGTACCAACGTATTTAGTAAAGGAAATTTCCACCTTATTTTTAATACAAATACGGTTATTTCATCCAGTTTGACAGACGCATCCGCTTAGCGCTGAGTATCGCACAACGCTGCTAAGCTAACGCTAAGGGACAGCTGTCCGAATAAGTACCTACTGGTGCACTGAGATCACGTAACTAAACAATATTCCATATGAAAATATTTCAGGAAACGTAAAAAAACTTTTGACCTCCTATAGTAAATGCAGTCGGCTGATCGTGATTTTGTATGGGAGGACAAAAAAGAATTGACGTCTCCTGAAAAAAAAAACTTACAAGGAGTTGTTCAGGTTAATGGTCTAAATGCACCCATCAGTATTTGGAGAGCTGTCCCTTACACCCCGTATGTATAGAAATAAGGCGGAAATTCGTATTGTCTTAACGCGTGCGCTATGCATGTGACTTTACATGTGATTCTCGCCTAATAGATATACTTCAGCGCTGGGCAGCGAAATTGCGAACAAATGGTGCTTGCTTCACTCCATTGCACTTGCAATGGGGACAATAATGGCGCGAGGTACCAATGGACTATTTTTAAACGTAGACAAATCAAATGGAACTCATTGACTGTTTAAATATGATACTATTTCTAGTGATATTTATGTCTCAAGTGATTTGAAAGTGGTTTTGTGCAAATACCACCTACAATTGTGATGTAAAATAACTAAGATACAGGTTTCAATTCCTAAATTCTGGGTTCGAATGTCGTCAGGGCATATTGATACCGACCCGCCTTCAAAATGCGGGGACTAAATATGACAAATTCCCAAAGACGGTAAGGCTTCCTATTAATCATTGGACAAGGTTCCTATTTTTGGCTTAAGCCTACCTTTTAAAAATATTAGGTACCAAATAGTTCAGCAGATATCTAATGTCATGATCATGACCTCCATTTAACTTTAAAGCTTAAAAGCTCATTCAAAAAACCATCAAAAATTTTCGACACTATCTGTCTGGAATCGCAATCATTTTTATTTCGAAACCTATTTACGTTATCACGACTTTACAGTTTAAGGATCGTGGGTAGTAAAAACAGCGTAATTGCCAAAACACCAAAATTACGATCTCGTAAAACTGGAATTTTCTCCTTTTAACTCGCAATTCTGTGTTAAAGAACGGCTCCTTATAATAAAACATGGAAACAGTTGAACCTGATGGTAGCCAGAGCGTTTATGGGCCACGTTAAACTTGCATTATCATCTTTTTGTATAACTTTATGAAAAACTAGCGACCCGTGATTTTACTGCTTCTTTATATTTCCCCGTGAAGATGTTTTTCCTGCGGTGATAAATAGTTTAACTATGTTTGGTCGATGCTTGAAAGTTTTTCAATTTCTTATTTTATTTATAAGAATAATATAGCACTGTGATTGCATTTTAAACTGCAAAAAGTACTCTTGCTTTTTACTGTGACCTCCAACTTAACTTTTTTGTGGTGGAATATCAAGATTTTCTTATTGAAGTTTTTTTTAATATAAATTGGCTAGTAGGCAGACCAGCTGCACAGCGGTTGACTTCAAAAACTGATTTCCTAGTTTAAAAACAAAACATTTTCTCTTAATAATAACGTACTTTTAGCCATAGTGTAAGTAGTAAAGTGAAACAGTGTAAACGTTGAACTGATTTATGTTCTCAATCAGTGCAATAAAAGGTGACACTGGATTGCACTTCACACGAGTACGCTGCTAATGAATTCAATCAAACAGCAGGTTCAAAAAAGTAAAAAAAAACACAACGTTTTTTTTTTGTAGCTTCTAGTTTATGTAGATAGCGTAGAAAATGTTACCCACTTATTGCATGCTTTTTATGTAAACTTTACAATACAGGATCGAATTCAACCCGAGTAGTTCAGAAGCAGGATTCGACGGGATTTGACAACTTTGATATAAAATTAATCTTTGATGTCATTGTGATATTAAACAATTTTTGTACCCACATCTAGTACGCAGCAGGTGGGATCCGACTCTAAAGCTACCAACTTCTTTTACTCATTCGCGTTTTATATGACGAGCATAAAATAAAGTGCTTGAAACTACTGTATAATCGCATGTACCAATAAAACCGTTTAATGTATTGGTTTAATATAATTGCAAAAGCCAAGTTTCTTATTGCAAAAGTTGCTTTCGGAGTCGAATTGATTTTATTTCACTTTGTCCTGACTTAATTTATTTGCTTGCTTTTTAGACTAGAAGAAAATAATGAGTTAAACTAATGTAACTTCAAATGCGATGTTCGCCAGACGCCAAGTGACGCGGCAATTATTGGCTTTATTCTCATGGTTAACTTTGCGAAACGAGTTCGTACGCACAACGCAAGTAAAAAAGAAAAAGAGACTCACGCGTAAGAAAATAAAATGAAAACATTTTGTTTAATATACGAGCTATTGACATTTTCAAACGAGAGCTCATTATTTAGCACAAAAGCGGTGCGAATGTTTTGCGCGGAGACAGTCGTTCGGATAAGCGACCTCGCGGGGTGTACTGAGCGAAATCAAGGGCGAGTTTAAAAATATACTTGTTACAAAAGCCGATGCAATTTTCCAGACATTCATTGTTAGCGTTTCCTCGGAACGGGCGTTTTGTTGGCGACAGTAAACGCTCTACGCTTTTTATTATGATTCCACTTGCAATTTGTATCTATTTGTAAAAGGTCAGCTAGAACTAGGAGTGTAATGTCGCATCGTCGCAGCGGGCGCTGCAATATTTTATTTCAGTGCCACATTCTGTCCACTATGCTACGCTATTTACTATTTTACAATTCCTTAAGTCGTGAAAGCACCTATCTACCTTAAGTTTACGATTCCTAAATCTGTAACAGATCGTTTATTGTGCGTTTGCTTGAAATGCGGCAAGGTGGTTCGTGGCGACATTTTATTTACTCCGACAATATCGTTGGAACATAAGCGCTACATTGAAAAGGCTTGTGCGGTGACCGCGTCCGTTTTGTGTAAAATGTCAAAGTGAGGGAAAAAGCGAGGACAAAATTGTGTTGACGCAGTGACCGCAGCGGGCGAGTGTATCTCGGTGTAGCTGGAGTGTAGCGAGCGTATGGTGCGGTGCGGCTGGCCCCGTGCGGCGTGCGGCGTGCGGCAAGGCTGCGGCTGCGGCGGGTGGTCGCGGCCCACTCAAGAACAATTCTAGTGAAGCCGTCATCCGGTGGGATAAGCGGCTCATTATTCACTAAAAGCCCACGGCGTGCCCGCTCGGGTAATTGGAGGCTTTGTTCCTTTGCGCTCGGCTTTGACGCTCTCACTAACCGTGCGAGCGACGCTCCGACGGATTATTATTCGCACCATCAACGGTGTACACAGCCTTAGATTAATCTGACGTCTGAAGTATGAATCGTTTGTGCAACAGAATAAACGTTGCATTACTCTTACTTTTTGCAGGCGTCTGTTTTATAATCGCCGCGAAGTTTTTAGAACGAGCAAATAAAACATTTTTCTGATGGGTGGAATGTTTTTGAGCATAAATGCCGTTCTGCATAAAGGGATTCCGTTGTATGTTAATGTTCCACAAATGTTTAAAAAGTGAGTTATGGCAGTATTGTGGGACTGGTAGGTGAGGTTTCAGTGCAGTTTTGCGTGAGCGTGAGAAAGCCATTGGCCGGCATTACAGTGTCATTCGTTGCGTTAGAATGGGAAATAGCCGCACGCCCGCGACACTCCGATAACTTTTGAAATATTATTGTCGTACAACACAATGCAGCTTTTCTATAAATTTCCAGATTCCGGTCATTATGAGTTTAACAGATTCTATCTGTTTTATAAATGTAGTCGTAGCTATTTTATTTATTTCTCTATCAACTTTATAAACAGGTCTATTATAGTAGCCAGACTGCAGTTTTAGATTAGAATCATAAATTGTTGGGAGACTGGTTTGGATACGTTGTTGTAAGGCTGATGTCACG